CTCAGTGTCTGGCCAAGTGAAGTTTCCTATTTCTGTTAACCATGGACGTGTTGTGTTATCGGACTCTGTCCAGGTAAAGTTTTGTACTTCTGTAATCCATGGAAACGTAATATTTTCGAATTTTGTCCAAGTGTGTGTGTTATTCTCAGTGTCTGGCCAAGTGAAGTTTCCTATTTCTGTTAACCATGGACGTGTTGTGTTATCGGACTCTGTCCAGGTAAAGTTTTGTACTTCTGTAATCCAAGAGATTTGTTCGCCGCGGGTAATGAAACCCGATTTTTAGCGTTATAGGTTCGTAGACTTAATGCTGAGTCGCCGAGTTGGGGGGAGGAGTATGAATCGCAGTAAAATTAAATAAAAGTCTAAGCATAAATACTTCATGGATGCTTTGAGTTACATTATATCTAATACGCTTTTCAAATTTCACTAAAACATAAAAAAATAATAATTCACTGCCGGTTTTTATGCTAGTAGAAGTCAAAGATTTCCGAAATGTTAATAAAGCCATCCTTGTTGAATTTTCTGTTTGATAATAAATCTACAAATTTTTGGCAATAATCTAAGCTTTTTTTTTCGTTGGTTTCAGGTTGGGAATTCAAAACCACTTCGACTGTAAAGTTAATAAACCGTATAAACACAGAGAATGGAATGGGAAAAAATAGAGCAAATAACGAAGTTGCAAAACTGAAAAGTCGAACAAGAAACATTAGGAATATACAGATGAAAAAACCAACAACCAACTCAACATGGATTGAATATGGAAATATATTACACAGCTCTTTCAAGACACATGGCAATTTGACCTGGAGAGATCTAAGGTTAAAAACTGATATTTCAGGGAAGGAACCCAGAAATGTTATTGAAAAGAGATCATATCCTAACAACATCAAAGATATTTGGTGGATAGCAACTCGAAAGATGACTTTGAAAGAGCACAAAAATACCAAAGACACTACTTTCCTACAAAGAAAAAATAATGCAAATATTTGGCGAACGAAAAAAGAAAACACGACTTTAAGAAGTCCTAGAAATGTCACAAAAAATTGGCTAGAAACAAACAAAATATTTAATTTCGCAAAACTTAATACAACCAACTATTCTTTTAGGGCTGAAAAAGAAAATGTAAAATGGACAGAACCCAAAAATATTCCATTTGCTTGGATGAAAGAAGTAAAAAGCTTTCCATGGGCAGACTATCAGAACATTACACACACTCAACAACCAGATACTGAGAATGTCAACAGGACAGAACCTGTAAATATCACATTTTCAATAGCCCATTGTGTAGTTTTGCACTTAATATCAAATAAACAGGTCATTAATCAGATATGAGGAAAACCTAGGCATGAAGGCCGAATTATTGACTAACTCCACACGCTAGGCATTTCAAAGAGTAACACAGGTAAAACAAAAACACTAAGTAGAAATTTGAGTTCAGTTATATATTGTTGTATGAGGCTACCTTTAATGCATGTGGAATGATATTTCATTAATGTTTCAAGATTTTAATTTCTAATGTCCAATTGTTTCCACGCAATTTGGAAACATATTACTTGTACTTTGTTTGTTTATAAACTTTCGTTATATTTTCAAGCACATATTGTATGGACGCCATATTTGAGAAATTTATGCGGTTATAAGGAATGTTTTTATTTAATTTTATTAAAGTTGAATTAAAGCAAACTTTACGAAATAGAAAGGAAATGGTTGCTCTTACGTATCCTTATTAGCCATAACCAAAGTTTATTTTGAACACAACTGAAAAGAAAACGCTTTTAAACTTTGATATTTTCCCTCTATAGATATGTCAGCGGTTTTAGGACTTATAACGCTCAAATCTGGGTTTCGATTTCTTGCGATGGATAGAGTGCACATAACCAATTCTGAAGTTTTGAGATGTACAAACAATGTGTTATTTTGAGGGTACATACAAGCATAAAAATCAACTCCTCATAAAGTCGTATGATTTGTCTCAGAAGAGTGTTTAAGGCCACTTAAAGTACGTCAGCGAATAATCTTTTATGCTGAGAAATTACAAAAATCACAAAAACAAAATGTTGCGGACCACTCGATTTGTCAGAAGTTGAGGCCAGTCCGTAACCACTTCAATCTTCGCAGAATTTGTAGATACTCTATTCTTACCAGCAATATGACTAAGATATTCAACCACGAACGCATGAGGCCAAATTTTCTTAGCTTCAATTTCAAATCGAATTTCCTTAACTGCTGAAAAACCATTTCGATTTCTGGGATTTACTGTCAGTTGTTCATCCAAAGTTGAAGGGATGGAGTATATCGCTTGAACTTTCGACTTTCTGATTCACAAACAAACACTAGTCACGTAATTCTAAAATATAGTAAAGAAGGTTTCGAGTTGTAATATCAATGTGTTATGGCCAACTTCTCCAAGGTGATACACCATTGTTTTCCAATTTCGTACTAGCTCAGGGAATGGTTATTCGAGGAAATAACTCTCAAGTGAATGGGATGGTTCTACACATATTTACTGTCTTTTTTGTGTTCCAGAATAGATATATGACGCAGTGTTGATGGTGAAATTACAAAGTTTGAATTGTGAAATTAAAGGACCTATAGTTCGAACAAGTGGGAAAGGGATAGATGTCAAAATATAACGTGTACGGATTAAGACCCACTCTGACGTTCTTTATGCTAAACATGATGCTAAAGTGGAAATAAACAAATGAATAAAAATCCTATAACCCCGAGCGCTTTCGAAAGGTGGGCCTTTCTTCTTCAGGGGTAAACTGTTTGCCCCTGAAGAAGAAAGGC